ATTTTTTATTTTTAAAAATAGAAATACAAGAAGTAGAAATAAATAAATAATAAATAAATTTCCCCCCCCTTTTTTAGTGGTTACAAAGACCATCACTGTGGAAGAGACCTACGTGAATGGAAAAAAGGTGGACTCCTCCAAGAGTGTTGGTGTGGATGTGAATCAAATGAAGTAAAAAGAAATCAAAAGAGTCAACAAATTCAATAAAGATCCTGCAGTTAAATTAATGTTGCATGTGTATTTGTTAAAGACATAAAACCCTTGTAAAATATATTTTTTTATATTTATAATGCAAACTGGTGAAAACCAGTGTATATTGATGGCCACATTAAGGATAAATACCAGTCACCTCAACAGCTTTATCACTCTTTAGAGCGCCATAGTGAAAGCTAATAGCAATACCCCAGGTGACTAAAGAAAACAAGCAAAAAAAAACAAAAAAACAAGCAGAACCTTTGTGCAAAATTTAAAAGTAATCACATGTATGCATAAGGCCATTAGTGTAGCCCAGGGTTACACCGGTATATGGCGTATACCCACTTATTTTTCCATCAGCATTGTGTATACTCACTTCTAAATCCCCTGTGTTCTGCACTAATAAGCAGAAACTCCAACCCAAATTTCCCATTTTTTCCAAGGATGGTGAAGTGCTTTCAATTTGCTAGTACTCACTGCTTTTACATTGGTTAACTTTAGGCATGACAACCAGTCAGCCAATCAGAGGCAGAGAAGGTTTTTGCTGAGGTTGATATTGCTCACATATCAAATAACATTTACAAGTTTATTCTAAATGATTTGCCTTTTGGATTTGCAACTAATCGGTAATATGAAGCGAGCTAGTCAATCAACACTGTTATTTCCTAATTACAAACGTCCTCATGAAGTAACATTAGCCAGCAGTTCAGCTACTGTTTGAGATGCTACCCCGTTACAGTTAAGCCTAACGTCAATGCTCGCTCTGCTCCCAATCCCCATCGGATAAGATTCTGTCAGTGAAGTGGAAGGTGCCTCTTCACCCTTAGCCATAGTTGTCGGTACAACTTTGGATGAAGACCTCAACTATGCTAGGTGGGCGCCCCCGCAAGGTCCAACATTTTTATTGTTGGACCTCGTAAATTATGGTAATAAAATGTCAGAGCTCGACAGTGCTGGCAGGGCAGTACGCAGGGGCCAAAAATACTGAGGTCAAAAGTCAGAACTTAAAAAGAATGGTCCTTTCTGAGTAAATTACCTGTTCTCGATTATCCGGACAAGACCATCCTCTGCTTTATTTGAGTCATTAGATTCTTGTATTTCTAAATTTCTATGGAAAAAAATACCCCCAGGAATATGCTTGAAAACTATGCAAAAAGCCAAAGATTGTGGTGGCTTAGAGTTACCAAACTTCCAGGACTATTTCTTAGCCAATAGGCTGCAGTATATCACACGTTGGTTTAAAAGTAACCATGGAGAGAAAGAATGGATGGACATTGAACAAACATTCTGTGACAATCTGGAAATTTCTGAATTACCAGTTATTTAGCAGTCCGAGCATTAAACATCAAAAATGTTTTAAAAGCATCAACATCAACTCCTCTCTGACAGCTTGGTGGGAGCAACCGTTTTTGGCATTTACTTAATCATATTTAGTTACTTTAACACAATTGTTTCATGTTGGCAAGGTAGGACATAAAACACTTGTGTTAAAGTAACTAAATATGATTAAGCGAATGCAAACTGTTGCATTATTTTTTTAATAATATTTTTAATAATATAATATTTAAAATACCCAAATCTTCAGTCTTTCCTTGCAATTTAACACCCATCTGGAACAACCTTGACATCCTGCAAAACCAAAAAATGCCCAATTTTATGGTATATAACAAAGGATAAAGCATGTAGAACACATAGTTTAGGATGGGGAATTCATTTCATTTGACACAGTTACACTATATGAAACAAACAGTAACACATTTTTCGAATACCAACAACTCAAGTTTGCAATTCACAATAAATATATGGTAAAGCAACTCGAATCACAAATCCTGTGCAGTTTAGGGGGGTGGTGGTGGTGGTGGTGGGGGGTTAGCTTGCTGTGGTTGTCCCCAAATGGGTGTGGTGATGGGTGTTGGGGCTGGGTGGGTTGTGTGCGCATCTCCCCCTGTCGGGGTGGTTTCGGCAGGGTCTGGGGGAGGATGGGACCGGGGACACAGTCCAGGGGTGCGTGCAGTGAGTACTAAACCACACACACCGCTTGGTCAGTGGATGGGCAGTCTCTGGGGTCTGTTGAGGTTCCCGGGGGTGCGGGTGTTGCTGCCCTGGGTATATGACCCCTCCTGCCCTCTGGTGGCTGTCAGAGAACAAGGTTGCCCTTTCTGGCTAAGAAAAATAGGTATCCCCAATGGTAGATACGGCCCTGAGTACTGGATTTGTAGAATATACCACCCTTGATATGTTGTAAATTCATTTTTTATGTTAAATATTCTCATGTTACATGTTGTTTTATTGAATATTCTGAATAAGTAATTCCAATCATCATATGATATACGAATCTGGGTTGCACTAAAATAATCTTTATTTAAATTTTTAGAGTTTATCAACTTCCGTTTATCGATTTTGTTT